TTTTCGCACCTTTGGCATGCATGCATACGCAGCCTACATGTGCATACTCATACACACAAACACAATGTGCAAGTTTTTATTAATGCGGCATATTTACAGATTTTGGAAGTGTTTCTATTTTTACCACCGATTCGGAAACGTATCGAATACTCTTTTTTTCCTTCAATGTTTGAACACATGATAGAGTCCAACGCAAGCCAAACGAACAGAAGAGAACATTTTAGAAGCAATGTTTTGAATCGAGAGAGCAAAGAAAAATATTGTATTTTAATTATGGTGTGCGAACTAAAATAATGCAAAATTCAAAAAATGAAATAGATCGAAACGGATTCGCAAAATGGCACCAGTCTCCAAAAATATAGTGGCTCTGAAGCTATTTTCGTGCAATTTTCATTTTCTTTCTGCGATGCAACAATGCGCCACTGTTGTTATGCATCGCAAATGAACAAAAACAAAAAAATCGAAATGCAAATTGGCGTTGCAATCGATTTAATATAGCACAGTTGTTGTTGTAGTTGTTGTTGTTTTTCGTGAATTCTATACTGACGAAAAATATTTTTTTTCCGGTTATTCAGTTTGAATGAATTAATATGTCGTAATAAGCCTCAAACAGTACACAATCAAATCTCTGTTGGAAGTAAGTCAAAGTCGATTCGAAACGATTCTTCGCTTGAATTTTGATCCCAGGAATCAGCCATTTTTGCCAATCGGGTGCAATGTTGGCAAAACCACTGGTTCGTTTATTTGTTCGTTCGCTCGCTTGCTCGATTGCTCGCTTGCCTCAACGTTATGAGCGTTTCTCAAATATTTACGCTTTTGCCCAGTAAATATTAATTTGTCCTATTTCATAGAGCATATATGCTTCTGACACAACTGCAAACACTATTCGATGTGACAGTTGCAGAGGTTTTTTTTACCTGACTCAAGCCCAATGGTGAGCTATCCAAATTGAGATCGTGTGAGTAATACACTATGGCCACGAATGCACACTTATGGCTATTTTGTTGTTGTTGTTATTGTTTTTTTTCACACCGCATCGGTCATTATGAATGGTAAGCTTTCTGAGTATATATGACGAAATCCAAAAATTATCTTTGTGAACGAAGCGAAAGGAGAAAAAGAGCGCGTATTATGTCATGGTGTGTTTTATACATGTGCGAGTCGCACAGATCTCTGTATACAAAAAAAACGTTATGGAAACGCACTTCAAGCCAGCATACAAATTTGAGACCGCGAAAATGGTTACAATGGAATCGATCAATCGATTGAGAAAATAAGTTTTAGCGGACACACACACACATTTATGTCAATGGGCAGCGATCGATTTGCATTGACTTACGTCTATTATAACATAGCATACGAATTGAAAGTGAGAAAAAAATTATTTTGTTATAAAAATAATGGAATATTGAATATGAGGAATGAAATGATTCTTGAACTTGTCAACTCATCATCATCATCTATTCGCTGTGCGGAAGCAAACATATCAAACAATTCTTTTTTGTGTGGAAGTTGATGTGAAGTGAAACTTAATGCTGTGCACTAAAATTGCTTGAATCATTGTGTGTGACGTTTTGACGCAGATACATTCGAAAATCTTATGCACACATTCGATTACTTAATTTATTGACTTAACATTTGTTACTGGTTTCTTTTGGCTGTTTCTTTGCCATTGCTGTGTGTGTATGTGTCACACATTTTCGACAGCCAACGATTGTGCAATAAAAGATGTATTATTATAAAATGTGATAGCCAATTCCGCGCTGTTGCTGCTGCTGCCGCTACTGTGTACGAGTATAAGTGTGAGCGTATTTGGGAGACTGGCAGCGTGTCTCGTCGCTCACGAAAATATTCGAAATGATCTCAATTGAACATGGTCAAATGGCATATTTGATTATCATAAGGCGATGGATTTAAATTGTTTTTTTTTTCGGTTGTGCTTTAATTTCGCCATTGTAAATACATATAAGAATTTTCAACGTATGGTTTATACTATATCTTCTTTGCATATGCCAAAGTGCACAGATTGATTATCATTGTAAATACATTTTGGTTTCAATTTTTTTCGCTTTTTTTCCTTCAAGTTTTCCGGGGCCGTATAAAGGGAATGTGTTGTGAGGTTACTTGCTCACTTGTACGATCACTATTGCCCATATAAAACTACAATGAAATATATATATATATACATATATCGTAATAATAGCCGTCACAACCAAATTTACAACCGAAACAACCGTGCGTCAAGCGGAAAGCAATGAAATTAATCCAGTCGATATAATTATCGACGCAACGGCTTTTGTTACTTTAATTTGCTTTGAATTGCTCTTCTTTGGTACACTGGCAGAGCGAGTGAGTGAATGAGTGAGAGAGAGCGTGTACTTTTTCTCTTCGACTGGGTTACCTAGAGACGATGGAATAGAACGTAGAGTGTGGCGAGCGATTTATCGTGCGTACATGTCCGTTGCATTACAACGTGATCTGGCCATTGTCTCCGAAGTGAAATTTAAATTTATTCTTCCAGTTTGTGCCGCGTGTACATCAAGTATCTTTTAATGTTGAAATCGGCAGCGTCCATATGTTTGCGTTTGGCTTGATTTCCGAAATTGCCTCTATCTAGAGAGAAACTATACGATATCTATGGCAGTAATGCCAACCTATTTGAATTGCTTGGCATAATAGCTGGAGGGCTTTACTAAACAAATATGTGACCAAACATACGGCATGAAAGAAACAATTTGAAATTGAAATCAACAAAAGTGCGTTCATGCGTTTTTCGAACTAGCTTTAGATTCAAGCTATTAAGTTTTTTTCGGCCCCGTTTACTTTCGATTCTTCTGTGAGCATTGATGATGATGATGATGCATTGCTTTTTCATTCAAATGCTACACGTGTCTGCGGTTCTTCTTGACTTTTCTTCTGTGCCTTTGGATGCTTTTTCTCTTTGACCACATGCATAGCTTCATTTCGTAAAGACGTTTTTTTCTCGATCTACATTTATTTAGCTCTCTTTCTCGAACATCTCTTCTATGTGAATTTGGCTTTTTTGTATGTTTCATTTGGAAAGAGTTGTTTGTGCACGCGCATTTCGATAATTGGGCGTCTCTTAAAATATTCCGCTGTGAGCTCCAAATGCACGGCGCTGTGCGTAAATGTATGTTTCGAAAAAAAGTAGAAAGTGTATTGTGGGAAAAGCCGTAGAAAAAAAAAAGAATGCCGAAAACAGTGTAATCATTATATTGATTTGAGAATGTGCATGAATACAGACAGTGTCATAACTTTCTGGCATTTCATGTGTTCTGTGTTTGTTCGTTCGATTGGTCGGTGGTCGGTCGATCGGTCGGCCGTATATTTGAAAGATCAAAATCGTTCAAAATGCAGTCCAATCGGTCGTGCGTTAGCAAGTCAAGATTTTGACACTTTGTAAAGTCAACACAAATGGCGTGATTAGGTTTCTTCATCATCATGGACATAGTTTGTGGTGAAAGTGGCTGAATGCACTTTTTCGGAGTATACGAATCAATGTTAGCTTTTGTTTGGTTCGGTTTTTCCGGCTCTTTTTTTTCACGGAATTAACCATTTTTCTTGGTTTGCATTTAGAAACTATTATTCTTTTTCGTGTGTGAAATGTAATTTAATATTGCTGTGCCGCAGACTTAATAGGTCTTTTTTGGTTGTATGGTGATGACCAATTTTTTTTGATTGCAAACAAAATTCCTCACAGCAAATAGATGATTTCTTAATATGTATCGAACTGGTTGTGTTCAATTTATTTTCGACTGCGGAGAACCATATTGAAAGTTCTCATTCAATTATTGGAATTGGAGAACACGACGATTGAAATAAACGTTCAACGTTGATATTTTTGTATAAATACATTTAATTGAGATGGAGGAAGGTACATGTGCTCTGAAAACACCTGGTCGACCGTTTTTTCTTCTTCTTCTAATTTTCGATTTTAATTTCATTTTAGTAGTATACATATCGAAAGTGCGCGTATTTTTATTTTTTGAGCTGTTCACTCTTCATTGATATTGTTTGTTTGCGTGCTATGGCAATGTCCTTGATGGCTTACTCGATATTTCTACAACTATGGACTTTCAGTTTGAATTTATGGTTGTCGCACGTAAATAGGAACTGAAGTTGACCTTGTCACTATATTCGCACATTCATATGTTCATATACTTCGGTCTCTTGTTTTGCTCTTGTTCTTTTCATTCAAGGATTTTCTTTTTGATGTCTACCTATTCGTACACGCATTCATGGAGAGTTTTTCCGAAAAACGTTTGGATGCAAACATCGTTCATTATATTCATATGGATGTGCAGAGAATGTTTCCCATTTGCATAACGAAACACGAAACGGTCATATCGGCGATCGGTGAGTGGCTAAAGTGTATGTCAAATGAATGCAATTGGATGATTTCGATATTAAGTTAGCCCGTTTAATTACGGTGTTTTACTAAAACATCATGAATAATAGCAGTGGCCATGAAATAAATTAATGATAGCACCAATCTTCAACTAATCATATGCTCAACTAGGTTGGATTCTATATCCGTTTCTATGGAATTGATTTCGAATATATTTAAAATCAACTTGTTGAATTTTCCCGTATTCCGACTTACGCGTTTTATTGTTTGTTAATTGACGAATCTATCGTTATTTTATCATATTTCTGTTATTTTTTTCTTTGCGAATGCCTTCGTGCAAATGCTTTAAAAACGATTTATCCGTGCCAATTGAACAACAATTTGGTTTACTAATTCCACATTTTCGCATCGAATCGGATGTCCAAGTTGTTGTTGTTGTCGTCGTTAACGGTAGATCAAGGTCAATTTCTGAGAATCATTTAATTGTTATGAATCCTCCCGAGTCGAGAGCATTCTTGATAACATGCTCCCCAAATATACATGCTCGCAAACGGAAAAGGAAAACACAGAAGAAGGAATGGACTTAAGGAGCTAAATAATAAATTGGAAAAAAAAACTGGTTGGTACTCACCTTCAAGTTTCATGCCAACCTCCAAACATTTTTGGAACCGGCAGAATGGGCATCGTTTTCGCTGTGTTTTATCGATGTGACACTGTCGTTCAGCCACGCATGTGTATACCTTTTTGTTTTGCACTGTACGTTTGAAGAATCCTTTACATGATTCACATGTAAGCAATCCGTAATGGTAGCCGGACACTTTGTCACCACATACCGGGCACAATTCTTCAAAATAATACTTCATATCGGTCTGATCACATGTGTTGATCGCATTGCCAACTGGTGGCAACAGTGATGGTACATACGTGTCTTGATTGGTATGTTGTGAGGCGGTGTCTGTGTAAGCTGACGATTGAAACACATATTGTGAGTTGAAATTATAAATTGAATAATCATTGTAATTGGGCTGTTGCTGTTGCTGATGTGGTTGCGAATGTACGACTACATTCCCATTCGGAGACACTGAATCTGACGAATTGTTGTTATTGTTGTTGTTTGTATTGTTATTATTGTTGTTGTTATTATTATTGTTGTTCGCATTTGAATTGTTGTTGTTATGCAAGTGCACTAAATTTGTATGCGTTGTTGCGGAAGGATAATTGGGCTGCGTATATTGGGTTGTTTGTATATTTGCAGCCGAATTGTTGCTATTTCCATTACCCGCTCCAGCGCCCGAATGCGGGCTACTGGTAAATGACGACAAGTTAAATGACATAAGGGTAGCAGGTTGCTCCATGTCTAATAACATTTTTATGTGCCAATTGTTCGACCCCAAAACGAAAGAGCGAACGAACGAACGCAAAGTCAATAGATTAATTTGTTTTGGTTTCGTTTCGTTTCGTTTCAAATATACCAGTATATATCTGTTCTAAATCACTTTGTTCTTCACGGACGGAATGTTTTCTAAAAAAAAACTACGTGATATCTTCTCAGTTGAATTTAATGTGTTTTTTTTTCTTTTCTCATTCATTTACTTTTAATTTCTAGATATGTTTGGATGATCCATAGTTTGTGTCAAGTTTACGTTCAGCTTGCTCAACAACCGAACAAGAGATACAGAAAAATTGCAGTGATTTTGTTTGCTGTGCACACACCAACGTCAATGTTTTCCTTACAATTGGCATGAATTTGTTCTTGAATCCGTTGTGCTTAGCTCTCTTAGTGCAATTTGTATGCTGGTACACAACTGGTAGATATAAGATTGTTCAGGTGATCATTGAAAATGGTTGCTGCATTTGTAATAGCACGCCGCTCAGATCAGAAAGCGAACAATTTTTATGATTGTTGATGCTTCTCAATGAACTGTGTGTTTAATACACAGTAAATCGCTTTCGCTCTCGTTCCTTGTTTCTGTGTCAAAATGGCTTACAATTCATTCGTGCAATAATAACACATTGTCAAACTTTACAAAAAAAAGTCTATTCGGTTGTAACATTCACTATTTCACAACCTGCTAATAATATTCGACGTGTTTTTCTCTCTCTATCTCTCTCTCTTTCTGTGTGTGTCTGCTTCGGTTTCGCTTCCTAAGTTTTTGTGAGTATGTCTTTTTTTTCTTTGCACGAGTTCAAATTGAATCTTTGCTGTCACAAAAGTGATTGCACCGCTGTCGTCGTTGTGCCAATAATATTGGCGATTTTTCTCATAATAATAATTCGGCGAACACACACAATTCAATTCGTTCGAATTGAGAGAAGAAAAAGAGTGTATTGAATATCGATCTGGATACAAGTTACGCGATACACAAACGGATGAATCTGTATGTGCCTGTATTTGGGTATATGACATTCACATACACACACACACACACACACACACATACACAAACCGAACTGAATGGATGTCTCTCAAAACAAATAACACCAACCGCACTTTTCGAAATTAATATGTCATTGTTGTTGCTACTTATAATCGAAACCAGGTTGTGTCAATCGATATTTGTATTAATGAGTTATATCATATGCCAATATTCAATATAAAAATGTTTGTACTAGGTTTTTTTTCTCCGCGTATTTTTTTTTCTCTGTCGTTTTTAATTTTTCCTCTGTCTCTGTTGTTTAGCACGGCGAATCGTTATCTCGGTCCCTGTTCATTTATGTTGACGGCGTAACATTTGTTGTTGTTATATTCTTTATCTTTTTAGCGTTTTTCATTTGATCACACCAAATATTTTGTTTGTTGTTACAGTTTCGATTAAAACGAGAGCAACCGAAGTAATTAATTAACATTTGTCGTGCAAAACACTTAGGCGGCTTTAAATATTCAAGCACGCATCAACGCAAACGTTTCGGGTGTGTTTGAGCTTTGAATTGCATATGCAACAGCAGTATATAGCAATTAGATTCGCAAAGATTTTCTGTTTGATTCAACTGTTTTGTTTTTGTTTGTTTGTTCTCTTTTTTTCTTGTTCAATTTCCAATTGTGTTCGTTTATTTTATTTAAAAAAAAAAGAAAAAGAAAAAAAAAACAATTCAGATCACATCAGCCGTTGTTCCGTAAGGAAGACACTTTCGTTGAAATACTCACAGACACTGACTTTTTTAAATGACCAAATCTCTCAGTCACACGCACCACAATATATTGATGTCACTCCTAAGAAGAGCTATTTGTTCTTTCTATTTGTTGATTATTGTTTGCTCTTGTTTGCTTTTTTTCGGCTATAATTTGAGTATGGCTGGCGTTTTAAATGTCCGGTAAATGATGTACAATTTGGGCAACATTTTGATGATCACATTCACAATTGATCGGTAGAATTGATTACGTAAAAATGCATATAAAAAATATGGTAATGGTTTATGGTAACCGTTGTTGTTGTTGTTGTTGATGTTGCAAATAGTCTCTAATTTCTATAAATTCAATTGTACAAAATCGGAATATCTGATGCTGAAGAAATCAGTGAAACCAACTAGATAAAGCAAACGCTATTTGTGTATGTGTGTGTGTCAAATTTTAAAATTTACAGAGTCTAACTACAAGGATATGATCCCCAGACGTAAGGCCAAAATTGTGTTTGTTTTTCTTTTATCTCCAATTATGTTCTAAACATAAAGCACCAACATTATTTATTTTCAATTTATGAAATTGGTTCATCACTTGTGTTTTTTTTTGGGTGATCAACTGATCGATCGCAATGTTCTTGTTGTTGTTCTTATATTTTTGTATTTCATCAATTGCTCCTGGCAATAATTTATTCATTTATTTCCACTAATTTCATTACAACTTTAACATTATTGTTTCACAATTTTTCTTATTCTGCTTCTTTGCACAAAATTTTCGTGAGAAGTGACGGTAATCCAATGTGTTTGGTGAGGTGAGAAAATTCGATTATTCGTGAAGTACCGAATGGAAAACTTCTTGACAAATTTTCACACTAATTTTCAATGTCTTTATCCGCAAATTCCGCTTTGATAGAATCTTTGATCAGTAGTAGATGCATCCAAAACTTATTCCACCGCACGCACTATTATAGTCCTTATTGTTTTAAGTGAATAAGTTTTTGAGGAAAAACCAAAACTGTGTTTTGTGTTTCTATTTTATTTTATTGCGATCATTTTTGTTGCTGTTCTGTGTGTGCTTCTGTTTTTTTTTTTATTTCGTCGAAATATCGTTGAAAAATCAGGCAATTTTAACTGTATAAACAAATGGTTTCGATACTGGTAACAAGTTCTTTTACATTTTACTCGAAAAATAAAAACAAAACAAAAATTTGTGTCAGAAGAGTGTAAAAAAGCACTCCCTACGGCAAACACGGACAACGATTGACTAAACTTTATTTTACAAAAATAAAATATTGTATATTGGAGTTTTCCCTCGCACCGAAACCGCCGTCACTTTGCACATACATAGTGTGTGGAACATACCGAATACTCGTGTACCGTGCATGTGGAAAGAGAATCGGAAAGAGCGTAAGCGGCGGATAGCTGTTTGTGTATTGCACACCGTACATCGTACATCGTACACAGATATATACACAGAGAGCAAACGAAAGCGAATCGCCGCATTCCGATGCGGTCCGGCATGGTTCGTCGTCGGCTCAAGCTTGGTAAGTGAGAAAATACTCAGATAAGCGAATGAAGCTCCAAAGGGAAAGGCAACGGAAGGAAAGAAACAAGCAAGCAAGCGAAATTGGCAATATACACGTCCAGCACCAGCTACAACATGCACCCCCTTGAATGCCGCTTCATTTAATTCTAATCTAGATTTCATAATTGATGTTTAGTGCATCAGCGACACTATGGTCGGAAATAAATCAATTGTTTACAAATCGTTTGAAAATTTGAACAAGAAAATAAAGTCCATCAATTCTGCGACTTTAGCAAATTTTAAAATCGCTTTATTAATCGTTTTCGCACAAAAAAACGCATTTAAACGTGTAAACTCACATGATTAGATCTATCGACGGATATTGCATACATGCTGTCGGTATAAAAAAAAATGTTTTTTTTTTTCATTGGATCGCTGTCACTGTGTAAACTGTATATGATTTCAGCTTTTGCGATTCGCACATATCCGAATGGCATGGCAGATCTATACGAGCTGCTGCTGCAATGTGCACGAGTTTGAAAAAGATGCTCGTCGGGCTTTCGAACATGTTACTACTCCTTTCAAACTGCAATCGTGTAGATCCTACTTTTGGAGTAGTATCTGCTACGAAACGCTTGCTTCATCGTTGTACTAAAAATAACAAGTTGCCGTTCACAAGAACGTGCGCGTTGCGAATCGATATCGTTGGAAAATGTTTATCATCAAGCATTCAGGCCAAGTGACATGGCTTTCGATGTCTGTTTGTGTGTATGTGTGTGTGAGTGTGGGTATGTTTGTGAGAGGAATCGTACAACGCTGCGTGCACAGAACAGAACAGAAATGTCATGGAAGGGAAACAGAATTTTATGTTGAGGCAGGATTGGTACGTTTGGTAAACAATATGGCAATATTTAGTAACGTTAATTATTGATTTTCCCGTACGATCATTTTGTCGGTTGTCATCAGACGTGTGCAAGGGGAGGGAGGTTTCCGGTTTTACCCCCCATCTAGGATTTGAAAATCAAGACTCGCATCGTGCGATTTTGAAATTTTTACACTAGATAGAATTGATTTTCAAAAGTGAGGACCTTTTTTTTAGGTCTCCACTTTTTTTTCGACACCCATTGACAAAATTTTTAGACTGCCAAAAAAAATTTACCCCCTTCTAGGATTTTTGACCTTGCACACGTCGGGTTGTCATTCATAGATAGTAGGCGAATGGAAAATGTTGTCTAAAACTAAACCAAAAATCCATTATTTTATTCAAATAGCTTTCAATATGAGAATATTGCGTATTTGTTAATTCGAATTTAAGTGAGCAT